TGGCCGGGATTCAAACCATGACCTCCTGGTTGATGGGTTGACACTCAAGCACTAAGCCACACCGGCCTGGCGATTGCTTCCTTTTCAACAGATGGTAAAACCAAGGCTCAAAAAGTGCTATGATCTGCCCAGGGCCATACTGAGCTAATGGAAGATCCAGACTCACCAGGCTGTGGGCCGGGTCCCCTTCCATTTGTCATCTTACGGAGCAGTGAGCCACCCCTGTGGCTGAATTGGGACTCAAATCCAGGCTTCCTGGCTCCTAGGCCTGGGCTCGCCCATTCTGGGCCTCAGTTTCCACTTTGGTACAAGGCAGGGTTGGTTTCCATGCGATCAGAGGGGCCTCCTAGAGCTGCCGACAGTGATGCCTCGATCCCAGGAGGCCAGCCAGGCTCTGTCCCCGGCAGTGTGGGCGGCGAGTCCCCATCCGGAGCCCCTGCTTCCTCATTTCTAAAACGGCAGGAGAAATGTCACCTTATAGGGACCTCTCCCGACGAGGCACACAGAGGGTGCTCAGTGCAGGAAGAGGATTATGGTCACCTTCATCTCTGATGTCCCCCCGGGTGGGAGGTGGAGTGGATGAGAGGGAGGAGGGGTCTTTAGCATCAGCTCCCCAGCCCTGCGGGTTGGTTGAGGGCGGCAGGCTAAGGGGGGAGCAGGCGTGGTGAGGGCAGGGTCAGGGGAGTTAAAGGGAAAATAGAAAGAGAAGCTGGTCCTGCTTCTCTAACCCGTGTCTCCTCTCGTCCCTCCCTGCTCAGGCTCGAAATGCCATTGGCGAGGCCCTCGAGGGCCAGAAGAGGGCAAGCTCATGGCCCAGCAGGCGCCAGAGTCCCACGGAAATCGCCTCCATCTTCTCCGACTACTACGATCTGGGCTATAACATGCGGTCAAACTTGTTTCAAGGTCAGGTCGAAGGGCAAGGGTGGGGGCCGTGAACACCCACGGTCCCCAAGGGGCAGGGAAGGCCTCTGGGATGTCTACCCCTTCCCAGGCCTCCGTGGACCCGACCCAAGGATACATCCCAGGGGTATTCATTCCCAGCCACCATGGCCTGCTCTTTGCTGGCCGTCCAGGGCCCTGGCAAGCCTGCCCTCTCCGTGCAAGTCATCCATCCCAGTTGGCTGTCAGCTCCTCCCTCCCCCAAACACCTCTAGCGTCCTAATCTGCCAAGACCCAGGCACCCCGGCCTGGGCATCTTTGGTTGCAGTGACACCAGGTTTCTGGTTCAAAGCTCAACTCAGCAACGTGCTGGGTGTGGCCTCACGTAGGATCTTTAACCTCTCAGAGCCTCCGCCATCACCTTCTTGGTCTGATGGGGACAACAGGGTAACTGGCCTCCCTGGGTGGGAAGGGCTCC